GGAAGGAGCTCTGCCATTTCAGAGACTAAATGGCGGAGGCATCAAGATTAAGACCCCCACTTACATTGAAATGCAGCAAAAAAAAAAAATTTGATTAATGGATGGACAGAGGGATGAATGGAAGGATCTGATAAAGCAAACAGCAGATTGTTCGTTGTCGAATCTCAGTGGTTGAAACACAGGTGCTCCCTATAAAATTCTTTCAACTTTTCTTTTTGTTTGAAAACTTTCAAAATAAAATGTTGGGGGAATTTTTGAGCAGGCTTTGCTCTGCCGTCCAGGCGTTCACATGTCAGGCTGTGAGTTTATTTGGTGACCAGGGACAGTGCCCCCAGGACGGTTTTCCCCAATCGATGTACCTGTTGTGGCCTGGCTGCATGATTGTCCTCCTAGAAGCACTGTTTTCTGTGCAGCGGATTTTAGTCTTTATAGCTGTTACATCGATGTCTGATTCCAAATGACGAATCTTTTCCAGGTTTATTTATGAAACAGAGCGTCACAATGGCATAGCAGAGTTACTGGAAATACTGGGAAGGTGAGTGTCTCTGTGTTGTTGGTAGTGATTGGCTTTAGATGGAATTTATAGCAGAATGATCCTGTCCATTGAGTTCAGCTGCTCCTCCCCAGAGCAAGGCAGCTTAAGCCATTCTCTAAAAAACCTAAACAAGATCTCACTTAAGGAAGGCTGGGGGCTCTGGGAGGAGGACACCCTCGACGGCAGGTATCTTCCACGATGCGCTTCTGCACGTAGGCTCCACCTGTACCTCAGGAGCATTACTATGGAAACACGAGTTCAGTTACTTCCTCGAGAGCAGAGCTAAAAATAGTTACAGTGAGGTTTATACTTGACACTTAGAAGAATAGATCATTTACTGCACATTTGAGAAACTTAGTAAATGCTGATATTTCAGATTGCTTTGATTTTATAAAGTTTTCGTGTTTTTTATACTTATAAAATAATTAACATTTCAAATTTTTTATTTTAATCCAGGGAAATGCTTGCTATCATTTTCTAATTGATGACTATAGGTTTTATGCCAGGCTTCCAAACCCGCAGTTTCCAAGTCCTCAGGGTTCCATGGCCGGATAGACTTGAGAGGGCTGTTTCTCCAGCTTCTTTCTTGGGGATCCGGTGCACAATGGCAGCTATAGGTTCTGAGACTCCTGCAGTGAAAAAGGCCTGTGCACTTTTGTTTAATGGTCCCCAGACTATTGGAACATAAGAAGCTTTTCTTAAGGAGCACTGGCCATCCTATGGCTCTGGTCCTGCCCCGTAGTTCCAAGAAAAATAATCCTTGCTGTTTTAGGTGCAATTTGAAAAACTGTTAGTCCTCGTGGACAGTTCTACTTTGATTAGTGTCAACACATTCGGCAGGTTCCTCTCCCTCAGTAGAGTGTAGCGAGCGGTTAGGCGTGTGCCCCTTACAGGTTATACGACCTTGGGCAAGTTACTTACCACTCTCCGTCTGTTTCCTTCCTTATCTGTGAAATGGGGAGATAATTATGTTCACCTGCTGGGTTGTCGCGAGGTAGGGTGAGTGGTCTGCAGTGTCCAGCACAGCCATGTGGCGCACACAGGGCCTCCATGTCCTCCCACGACAAGGCTTGACTATCCTTCCAGAAGAGGGGTCCAGTCTTGAGGGTTTCCCCCATGTGAGTGAGCATATTGCCCTTGATGGCCACTTGAGACTGTCCCTGAGATTCATGAATGATGGGGGAACAATTTAGAAAACACTTTAACTGCTCCTGTAGCTCTCAGTAACATTTATCTGCACCTGCCTAATTATAAAACCGAATGGATGAACTACTTGATATTAGAGGCAGAAACTGGTTTGCAGGTAAAGAGTGAGACCCCCTGTCTTTGAAGAAGGGAACAGGTTTCTTGCTGATCTTTAACCAAAGCCATTCTGTGCACTCAGACTCTGTCCTGCCAGCATTAGATTGATGAGTCCAAATTTCTCCTGGAAGGTGAATTCCTAAGGACAGGTGAAGGCCGAGGGCAGGGGCTGGGTGTGGGCACCCTACAGCTGGGGTCCCACCTGAGCTGCCCAGTCTCTGTGGCCTAAGGAAGGAGGTCTTGCCCCAGAGATTCCCACTATTCCAGGCAACACCCTGTCAACCCAGAAACTTGAAATCACCCTGTAGTTATAAAGATAAAATCTATTCTGCTTCCGTAAAGGTGTTTAATTTTCTTTTGAATATCTGCTGACACCTTCCTTTTTTCTGAAATGTATCTTTTGCTTGCTGGTTTTCATGATGAAAACAAAAAACGGGAAGAAAAACAGCAAGATACCTTTTTTAATCTGGAATTTGTCAATATTCAAACTTTGCATGAATTCTGTTTTCACAGTATAATTAATGGATTTGCCTTACCACTAAAAGAAGAGCACAAGATTTTCTTATTGAAGGTGTTACTACCTTTGCACAAAGTGAAATCTCTGAGTGTCTACCACCCCCAGGTAAGGTCCTCAGCAGTGCAGGGGCTCGCTAGCCCGGCCATCTTCCCTGACCCGTGCTGAGTGGGGACACCAGGCCCAGCCTGTTAGCTGGAGTGCTTCCTCTTACATCACATCACTGATCAGGAACCAAGGCTCTGGTGATAGATGGAAGGAAAGAGGGTAAAGAGAGATTCCTTTTAAGAAAATCAGAAAAATCTCAGAAGTGAAGAATTTCAAAATGAGTTCTAAGCCTAGAAAAGGGAGTGACTGGCTTAATGAGAGGAGTCAAGGAAGGCTTCTCAGAGGAAAATTTGTCTGTGATGTCATTTAAAATCTAGGACCTCAAAGAAAAGGCCTGTGTGTCTGTAGCCAGTGAAATGGCCAATGAGAAGGTTTGTTTTTAAACGATGGATTTTTACAACATTGTGAAAATCTAATCACAGTCATACTGAAAAGTGGGTCCGTAACGTGGTTGCTAACCACTGTGTGCACCCAGGAGATCTGGTTTTTCCTTCACTCTTATATCAGTTCTGTGTGTACAAACCTTGGGTAGGCCGGTGGCAACACTGAGCTTGGGGGCCCCCACCTTCAGCTGCACCCATGTGTTGGTTCCTTGAGGCTAGTGTGTTCCAGAACCCGGGAAGCTCTGCGGGGCCTCACTTTGGGAGTTTGCAGCATGGGATAAATTGCAGAAAGTACTGTTGACCCTTGAACAACGCAGGTTTGAACTGCATGGATCTACTTTGCATCAGTTTTTTTCAGTTGACCCACGCAGTTCAGACCCACGTTGTTCAAGGGTAAACTGGTAGTTGGGAATCTGTGTGCGAGGCTGGCGTGAGTTGCACGTGAGTTTTTAATGCACAGGCATTGGCCCCAACCCCTGCAATGTCCATGGCTCAACTGTATATTCTTTAGATGACTCTAAGGACACTGGCCTCATGGGAAATATTTTGCTTAGAGTTCTCTGATCACTTTACATCCAGCCCTGTTGATATCATATTAATTGTTCTAGAAATCAATAGTTCAGAGATTCAAGGAGGAACCAGATTTTAATTTGATTTTTCCCATCTGTCAGATTACTTGTTCATTAGTCTCCAAAAAAATGCAAGAAAAGTCCCTATCAGACCTGGGCTGACATCTTGGTGTTAACCCAAAAGACAGTTTCTTGTTTTCTTTAGCTTTCTGTTGTACTTTATGCAACTGAGGAGAGAGAAGAACTTTGCTGGCCTGCGGTGGGGCCTGGTGTGGGGATCCCACCCTGCTTGGCCAGGGACACCCCAGGCAGCACCTGAGCGCGGCAGACCCTTGTCTCAGCAAAGGAAGTTGTTTAACAGTGATGCTGGGATCCTAGAAGCACAGCGGCGTTTCCATGTCATAACAAACCGTTAATACTTTTCTCCTTTGCTCGCCAGCTTGCGTACTGTGTCGTGCAGTTTCTGGAGAAGGACAGCACCCTCACGGAGCCAGTAAGTGCCCCTGCACTGCCCCGTCGCCAGCTGCCCACCTGCCCACAGGGTGCTCGGTGTCGACACCCCACTGTCTGCTCAGCACACAGCTGTGCAGCCCTGTCCTCAGCTACAGTCCTGATGAACACACTGTGTTCACTGGGCTACAGATTTCCCAGGCGTGGTCCTTTTAGTGACAGGTCCCTTGACTGCAGTGGCTTTATGCCCCGATGCCACTTTGTCCCTCACTGTACTTGGAACGCACAGCGCTCGGCAGTGGTTGCCAGCAAGTCGAGTGCACTTTACCACTCCCTCTGCTGGTTCCGTGGCTCATGAACTGCCTTCAGTTGGGGGACTGTGGTGAGAGTGCACAGGCTGTCATACCGAAGAGGCTCCACTGTCCAGAAGTCTTTCCCATCAGAGGCACCGGTTTCCTGGTCACTGCATCGTAAGGGAATGTCACCTCACTGTCGTTCAGTGCTTAGGTTTCTCAGCTTCTTGGCATTTTATCTTTATTAAAACTACAAAAGCTATTGTAGCCTAGATTAGCAAAGTTGGCGTGTCAGGTGCCAGGGGAACATTTGAAGACACTTTTTTAACAGCTTTATTGAGGTACAATTCACATACCACACAGTGCACCCATTTAATGCGTACAGTTCAGTGGGTTTTGGTATATTATGTTATTAACTTTTTTAATTGTGGTAAAATACACAACATAAACTTTATCATTTTAGTTGTCAAATTCATTGGCATTAATGACATTCACAGAGTTGTGCAGCTGTCACCACCACTGTTTCCAAAACTTTGTCATCACCCCAAATAGAAACTCTGCGCTCACTAAACACTAACCCCGTCTCCTCCCCCCTGCCTCTGAGTTTCCCCACTGCAGGGCTTGTCCTCTGACTGGCTGTTTCCCTCAGCATAGTGTTGTCAGGGCCCATCCGTCTTGCAGCAGGTGTCAGAGTTTCATTCCTTATGGCTGAAGACTGTTCCGTTGTGTGCATGGGCCAGGTTTTGTCCTTCATCTGTCCGAGGACACCCGCGTTGTTTCCATGTCTTGGCTACTGTGGATAATGCTGCTGTGCACATGGGCATTACATGAACATACAGATATGTTCAGGTGCCTGCTTTCAGGTCCTGTGGGGCACTCCCAGGAGTGGAATTGCTGATCCCATGGTAGTTCCAGGGTTAGCTCCTGAGGACCGTCCAAACTCTCCTCCAGGGTGGCTGCCCGTGTTACCCTCCCCAGCAGCACACAGGTCCCAGTGTCTCCCTTCCTCGCCAGCACGCTTTCGTCCTGATTCTAGCCATCCCCCTGGCGTGAAGTTGTGGCTTGATTTGCATCTGACTAATGATGTTGGGCACCTCTTCATGTGTGTGTTGGCCATTTGTATGTCTCTTTTGGAAACATATCTTTAAATCCATTGTCTATTCTTCAATTGGGTTGTTTTTTTTACTATCAAGTAACAAAATAGAAAGTGTTAGATGGAGTCTTTCAGTTTTCTTGTGAAAATACATGAAGTCCTAATGCTGTGTTCCTGGTGAACCTGACTTCAGATCTCTGCTTTCTTTTAAGCTTCTAAATGCTGTGTGGAGACTCCCCTATCTCACCCACAGATTCAGGACCAGCTCTGATCACGGCCCTCAGCTGCTGCCTGCAGAGGTGACGGGCAACCACTTTCAAAGTGGCCCATCCCTGCACTGTCCTCCCTGGGGTCTCCTCACGCCTCTGCCACAGCTCTTAGAATCTGAAAGCCCCCAAGGAAATGTCTAGGCTCCAGAATTCTTTGTTTCTTTTTGTTCGTTTGTTTTGGGGTTCCAGGATTCTTAAAGTGTAATCCATTTAAAAGACATTTGTTGCTTTTGAAATCTGTAATAGTTTTTATTTGCAAACTTTATACAGTGCTCAAAAGTGCTCTGGGCATGTCGAGCACATACACTGTTGTAAGAACAGAAGCTCATCAGGTGGCAAGAGAAGCAAAATCGTGTTCTCATTGCCCCGCTGTCTCTTTAGGCCACTACATGGCCTGGTGGGAACTCATTCTTTCCCTGGTGTGCCAGGGCAGGAGGGGGACTCCCCAGGATGCCAGGCAGGAGCCATTGGCATGCACCCTGGGCTTCCTGTCCCCTCCAAAGAGCGGGTGGCCATTGAGCTTGCTGAGGAGAGCCCCAGTCTTGAAGTGTTCCCAGCAGCCGGTGGTCATTGTTGCTGTGATTAGCATTCCCCAAGCAGACACCCTCTTCTGCAAAATGCCAGTGCACTCTCAAACAGTTGGTGACTGATGTATTCACAGGTGGTTCCAAATAGTGTGAAAAGCCAGTCCAGGGTGTGACTGATTCCAGGAATCATTCCTTCCCGTGAGAGGCTATATCAGTTGTTCTACAGCTCGAATACTGTGTTCCTCATAAAATTCTGTCCGTCAGGTGACAAGGGGCATGGGTTGCGTGGTGATGTGCGTCTGTCTCCTGCACAGCGGTTCCATACGTACAGAGTGTAGTGGGTGCTTGGGAAATGTCTCTTCAGTTATTTTGAGCAAAAAGTAGGAGGAAAATCATTAAATGATGCATTTTTTAAAAATAATTTCTTTTAAAGACAGTTGTGTTGTAAGTTATGTCAGATGTCAAAACTAGGAGCACTTTTTTATAACTTTTGGCGTTTTATAAAGTGCAATATCAAAGATCACCCAGGAGCCTGAAGACCACAAGCACCAAAACAGAATTGTTCTAAATGAGTGCTGCTCAGAGGTGCCCGTGTCTCTCACCACAGTGGTGACTGACTAAGGCTGGTCCGCTGAGCAGTGAGTTGTGTGGTCTTCAGGCTGGAGATGACTAGAGATGGAGCCACCAGCCATCCGTACCAAGCAACGTTGTGGTGACTTCCACATGCTCCTGACACTGGCGGCTGGCTGGTGCTTTCAGAGGCCACACAGCACTTTCAGGTAACAGGTTACAGGAGTTTAAGGATATGTGCTCACAGGTAAATGCGGCTCTGGATTGTTGTGCTGTTTTAACTTAAGATGACTAAACTCTAGAAACATTAGTCTGCACACAGTCAAGTCTGGTATTTTAGATGGACAGTATTTACTGGTCTGATAGTGGTAGGAAATTTGGAAACTATAGAAATGCGATAAAGAAAGGTTGCCAAGCAGAAAAGCTACCTGTCTGACTTGGGCAAGGAACAGAGCCTCTAACACCTACAGATCAGGAAGCCACTGCCATGGGACCGAACATGCCTCCAAGGGCGCAGGCCACACAGACACTGTCTAGGTTGGGCCCTAGCTACAGGCCAGCAGTCCCCGGGCAGCTGTGTGGATTTCATAGTCAGGTCCTCACAGCAGCCCTGGGGCAGGTGGCGGTGTGCCCCTGGTTGTTGACGAGGGCTCTGAGGCACTGAGGGGTTGGTGACCAGTCCAAGGTCGTGCTCACAGAAGGCAGTGTAGGCCCAAGCCCAGGTCCCTCCGTGACCCGGGTGGCATGAGCTAATAACACTAGCTCATTTCATGTCACTCTTATGTGTTTTAGCACCATTGAAAACACACACAGTGGCCCTGGCCAGTTTGGCTCAGTGGTTAGAGTGTCTGCCTACAGACTGAAGGGTCCTGGGTTCGATTCCACCAAGGGCACATACCTCGGTTGCAGGCTCCGGCCCCTGGGCCACGTGCAGGAGGCAGCCAATAGATGCGTCCCTCTCACATCGATGTTTCTCTCCTC